ACAAAATTGTATATATTGCAAAATTAGTTAATGAACATAAAAATCATGATCTTAACCAAGCTCGCTACAACTTTCAGGAAAATATAGCATTCACAAAGGAGATGACTGATGATGTTGAGTTCTTTGTAACAAAGATGAATTGTAGCCCCCAACAAATTCGTAAAGCCCTTGAAGAGAAATATTTTGTAAAAGTCTATATGCCAATACTATGACAAGTAATTCAACGATTTCACCCAAAATTACAGGATCAGACAAATGATGCTAGTAAATTGTATCAAGAATTGTTGAATAAGAAAGAAGCTGATCCCCGATGGTATATCTGGGTAGATTGGGACCCTAATAGTAAATGTCTTTGACGATTATTCTATATGTCTCCTGATCAAATTGAACGATGGTTGGAATTTGGCGAAAATAGCCAAGCAAAAGTAAATGAAAGTTAGAAATATATTTTTTTTTACTTTAATATTATAATATTAATTTATTAAACTATTTTATTATTACATCATATGAGATAAGGGTCGCATCACAGTGCTATAGCACTATAATGCTATAGCGCTATAACAATATTCCCTTATTATAAATGCTAAATTTGTTTTAGTCAATAATTAAATAATGCTGGCTTATATGAATTTTATTAAAAAACGTAAAGATATTAAATAAAAATTTGTAACGATCGATAATTGCATACAAAGTTATCGGTCAATTGATCATTATCTGAGTGCCGATGTTTAATTGTTTTAAATCCCGATACGTAACTGATTTTTTGGGTGATGCTAGGTTGGTTGTGAAATGAACATGTCGGTGGATTGATTGTCGGTGAAATGCTATGTCTACGAAATGAGTGTCGGTGAAATTAGCGGCACCGGTGGGGATTAAGAGGGGTTAAGTTGATATTATTATAGTACGGCACGAAACTTCAAGTTTACTTAGTACACTTTGATGGTTCACAGAAGAGATAATCTACCCAAGCCTCCGAAAAAAAAGTATTATAAACGTATAAAAAAAATTATAGATCAATTGAATCGCTCGTGTAACGATCTACGAACTCGGGGCATACTCTACCTGGTCTGCGCCCTCAATTGTTTGTGTTTTGATAGAATACCGATAAGTCATGATCCGACTAAGACAGTTCAAAATCTTGATATTCAAAATTCTGAATGATCAAAATCTTGACAATTCAAAATTCAAATGGTTAAAATTCCTATTGATATGTTATACAACTATGAATGCTAAATATGAACTAGTTTATAACTGTTACATAATTTATATCTTTAATCAAAAATATTTAATTTTTAGCAGTTAATTCTTGTTGATAGTCAACCTGGTAGAAGTGTATAAAATTCAGCATCAAGATCGTGAGCAAGCAACATATTACATATTTTCATCAGAATAAATTTATTCAGTTAGTATGAATTCGATATTAAAATATAATTTGATTTCGATAATGTTAATTAGCAAGTTAGTTGTAGAATAAATATATATAACACACATCGAGGCTTAAACATGTATATGAAGTCAAAAATTTAATGTGTATTTCGCCTATAATTTTAAAAAACGTGCTATAATTTGTGCGCATATATTATTTAAGGAACAAAAAATTTTTCAACGTGTGTTTCACCCCTTCTGCATATCCATTTTTGACACTGAC